AATCCTCAATGAAAATTTGAGATCTATGGGAGGGGAAAAAATGACATTGCACCATGCTACTACAAAGCAACAAAGTCCCCATACGTAAATATTACTCGTCATTACAACCCTCTTGGCTTTTTATCGCAAAGGATAATAACCTATTAAATACAATATTGCAACCATAACTACATAATCATAGCTTACCATTTACTCAAACTAATATGAAGATATAAATCACTTAAATTATCTTCATCTCAACAGTCCCCAGATCATACAGAAACCGTAACTTGCCGATTCATACATAACTCATATACTAAATGAAGGAAAAAAAAACGTTACCACCTCATTCATCAAGTTTCTATACCGTGATTTTGCAGTATTTTTGGTAAATAACTAATGAACAAATCTAAAGACAAACACGGGGCTGTAGAAGTCGGTGAACTTGTATTCAGCTTCAAGTGGTGGAATGAATATGTCTTCCTTGGGTTCCTCATTTACACCCGTCTGTGTTGCATATTCCAGTGCCATCTCATAGTCGACCTGCAATATAATTTCCCAAAAAAGAGGTTTAATAAACAAAATTAATAAAAAATAAAAAGTAACATATTTTTGGGAACCGTAATGGGTAGCAAAGAAGTCTCTATTTTTCATAACAGTGAAGTAAGATGGATTCATTGCAAAGGTTTGTCTTCTTAAAGATGAAATAAAGCTCAATATCTTCAAGCTGAAGTCCAGGCAAGTTTAGTTGAATCTGATAAATATACTGAAGTTTCTTTTTCTCGTGTGTGTGTGTGTAAGTGCGCTAGTGATGGGCCACATTCTCAATAAGTGATAATAANTTCAACGTGTTGAGCAAGCTTTTCGCGCAGTGTTTCTTCTGTAACTATCTTATCCGAAACTTGTTTGAGTAATTCGGCATCCGCCCCTTCACATCGCCTTTTCTTTGAAGCATGAGCTCGTGCCATCTCCTTTAATACCTCGTATATAGCACCTGTGGCGTTTGGGATGTACCTGAAAATGGTAGAAATTTTAACCCAAGAAAAAATTGACACGCACTATATCACATATAGTGAGACCAAAAGAATGATGAATACTTGCTCAAACTTCGCTTCCTCTCCTGCTGCTCGCGAGCCTGTATTCTTTTCACGATCTTGGATTTTAGTTGAGAGCAGCATTGCTGAATAGCAGTCTTAAAAAAAAAAACAATTTCCTTCAGGCCACATAAAAAGTTATCATTTTGGGTTAAGTAGTTTATCTATGTTTGTACCTTGACGGCAGAAGCTATTTCACTGATGTCATCACCAATGTACTCCTTTCCAGTTCCTTTAAAAGGTATTTTGGTGCTCACGATGCTCACAAAGACACCAATCTTATCTTGTGTTTGGTTGATCTTGTAATTGCTCCAGCTGAAGGATGACAGCCAATATTACAGAAACATCATTTTCTAGGTTCAGATGTTTCGTCTTCTAAAAACTTGCGGCAAGCAATTTCCAAATTAGATTAAAAAATAGAATTTTGAAAATAACTAAAAACAGTTACTAGTTCTAGAAGCAAAACATAGTATTTTCTGTGTATCATTTGCCAGGACAATTGTACTGTACTTTTGAGAGTTTCTGTAACATTTCACAGATAACTTCTGGGGAAAATACTTCAAAAAATATTAATCATGAAAACAATCGGTAACAGAAGATATAGAGGACTTATTGTACTTGATTCTCTTTGCAGCAGTTCTAGTGACAACATCAGCACCTTGCTCGAATAGAAGTGGTATCCGGTTAGCAAATCGGAACACATTTAGACCCTACATCCAGAACATATGTATAAAAGGAAAGTCAGATATTGGATGGGCAAGTGAAACAAAATGATAAGCCATTATAATCAATTACACTAAGATATGATGCTACCTACAATTGCCATTACAGAAAAGTCAAATGATGAAAGTTACATCAAAGACATATGCACTGGATGTAACATAACTAGAAATATGAAAATCCAAGCATGTACAAGAAAAATGTGAAAAAATATATAAATAAATAGTGACCACATAAAAAGTAAGACAAGCCATGAGCCAATGTCAGTGATTGAGGTCTGAGTCTAAACTTTTACTTTGATGAGTTGGGAGTATTGAAGACAAAAAGAAAGCAAAAAGGACAGTGGGAATAAGGGAAAAAAAATATGTAACTAAAGGGATAACTAATAACCAGTACGATAGGAGATACAATCAGCGATTTACTAATTGCCACTAATAACCTAAAACACCAGAGCTTCAACCTACTATACGTCTATACCACAGAACAAACACAGACGAAATTTACTCACTTGTTTAACATCTTTTCCACCCAAACTAAGCCCTGCTTCCACAATGAAAGGGTGGCCTTCAAAAACTTGAGGACTGCATGAGACAGATGACAGTCACAAGTTTGCCCTTTTTAATTATAATAAAATGTCAAACATAATGTAGGTAATATAGGTAAGGTATTCAACACTACCTTCCTGAGTAAGTGGCAACCATATCTGGATGAAGCTCCTTTATAATCCCTAAACGTAAATTGTACTCTCCAGCAGGGCTAAGACACTGCCAATGGCATCAAAATTATTGAGTAAAATAAACAAACACAAGAAGTCAATAGTAATCGGTGATAAACTCAACAANTGCCAATGGCATCAAAATTATTGAGTAAAATAAACAAACACAAGAAGTCAATAGGAACCGGTGATAAACTCAACAAACACTAGCAACAATGGTGAAAAGAAATAAAACAAAAAAAAATATTGACTTGGAAGCACAAGACAAATAATTAAGTATGCAAAATTGTAAAAACTTGAAACTTACATCACCACTTGGATCGTCAAACTTTGCTTGACGGAACAACTGATGGATGCGGACAATTTGCTGAGAGGTTAGAGATTTAACAGGCATTTTGGGGCTAAAATCAGGACCCATTTCCCCTATAAAAGCATAGACCTCTAATAAATAGGAAACTATTTTGTGAAAATACATGCAGTACTGAACAATAAATTTATGCTACAAAATCTCACCCACTGAAAAAGTGTTTGCATCTGGTAATTAAGATAAGGACTAAGGAGGAATAAATTGTCTTTTACAGTTCCTCCTATCACTTCTATACATGAATAACACGTCACTGGTGTCGCATCATGTCAAGCTTTAGATTACTTTAAATTGTTACATCAACAAAAACATCAAATATCTTCTTGAGAATGACGTAATCACTTTTTCATAAGGCTTTACCCAGTATTTTCTCAAAATAAACAATCAGTTGCACATCTTACCAATCAAGCGCTCCGCATGGGACTTCCCAACATTCACAAATTCATGTTGGAGAAATTGCAAAAGATTTGGCTTCGACGTCTCGGCAATAAGTCTTTTGATCAATAGCAAATCAACAGCAGATGGATGATACTTAGTTTCAAGGGGAGCTGGAGGCATTATATCCGTCCTCCTAGCAAATCTCACAGTGACGTTTTTACTGCAACGTTAAATCAAGAGAACTGTGTTATCATTAATTATATAACTGTTACACAATGAAGAAAGGAAATTAAGAGAGTGAGCAAGTACTCTGGAGATTCAGAAAGGAACTTGAAAAGGAATTGAGCATATGGAGTGATGACAGCCATTTGTCGCATGTAATGCAATATTTTGGACTGTATAAAAAATGAAGGAATCAGTGCAACCATAAGAAAATAGGATCCAGGTCAAATTTTATTTACAGAGCCGTACACGATAAGTTGTCCAGTTGCCCTCAATTACTATCTGGATTTCAGCTCCATGCCACCGTTCCTCATTGTCTCTTTTCTCATGTACATGAATATGAGGGACATTCCTTGAAATAATAAATTGCACCATTTCATTTCCCCAGGCATTAATGAAAAGGAAAAACCAATAAGATTCTACCGTGCTACGAGGCTTTACTTGCCATACCTGTGAATATCTATATCTAATCTGCAAAACGATGAATACTTTTGGCTATTCATTGATGAAAGGATCTCAATAGGCAACCCAGTGCTCATTTTGGACCAGATAAGTGCCTGCACGATGGGAAGAGTTATCAACTTTACAAGATTATGCAACCAATTCCACCAAGAGAAAACAAATAGTAAATTGGTAGTAAAACTGTCAACAGACAGTATCATCACAAGTAAGACAAATAATTATATGCCAAAATTTCCCAAATTACTTTAGGGCCCCACCATCTTTGCACCAAGTCCAAATTTACCACGCGTCTGCTTTAAGCCATACTTAGTTCCAGAGAGAACTGCACGAATGAGTCCCTTAGTAAAACAAAAAGTATAATAAATAGAAAACTTACAATTTAATATACTACTCTGGGACAGAAAATTGATCCTAATAAATATAACCTAGAATGTGTGTTGTGTGGTAGTGTGCATAACAAAGTCAGACTTAAACCTCGTCCGAACATATTTGGGATATCATCATGTGCCATTCCTCTTCCATTATCCTATATCAAGAGCAAAGTTATTTGTAAAGAAATGCATAACACTCTTCTATGTTCAAAAGTTTGAATAGTTATAAATCAGCCAATTCTTTTGAAAAAGCAAAGATACATTTTCAATCAACTGAGTGAACTGTGAGCACTGTTTTGGCAAATTTCAATGTTAATGACAAATAAGAGGATCGACTTAAGTGATTTGCACCTTACAAGTCACCCTATAATATGAAGCCTCGCGACTCTTTATGGGCTTTGGAGCTGTTGTTGCTTTGCCTTTCTTCCCAAGAGCTGCATTCTTTGCCTGAGCTTCTTGAAGACGAGCTTCCTTGGCAAGTCTTTTCTGAGAGAAAATAATTTAATACAATCCTTAGACAACCATCTCATACCACTTGTTCAACTAACAACTCTTGTAAGCACTGCTACACATTAATCATTAAGTAATTTGACCATGTTTAGACTCATAGAACGTGATCTAGTAGCACTGCACCTCACGGGCCTTGGCCGACTCAAAATCATCATATAGCTCTGCATCAACACGTTCATGGTCAGCAAGACCAATCATTGAATTGAATTTGCTCCTCCCAATCTCTTCACTAGAGTGATCAACCATTACAGCACCAAGTAAGAAATGCATGATCCATAATTGACTGTAAGATATAAATACCATATAGATATAGCTGAAAAATATACCTACTTACACTTACATTGTTATTTCTATGACAGGAAGTTCAGAGATTGACTCAGCTGAATCAAGTGCATTTTCAACAAGCTCCCTAACTGTAGTATACAAACATTTTCCTGGCTGAGGAAAAAGGAAAATCAAAAGATATATAAATGAAATCTCGAACGTAACAGTAAACTTCTTTCCCTAATGTATTTCACAGCGTACAAAATTGAACCGTATGCCATTTTCATGTTAATTGCCTCAAGAAAATTCACATTTCTTTGTGGTACGTTGATTATATAAGCTAAACCCAAGTTTTAGATGATGACTCTCAGATTTCCATTTTCCCACTCGGAGTGCATAGCAATTTCAATGGAGAGATTCAAGTTATATCTAATTAAAGGGATCCTTAATCTCCTCAAATCAGCATGATGTCAAGCAAATATTCATCTTCTTTTCAAGTCACCATTCATCGCCACAGTGTTTTAAGAAACATTATGTTGGCTACAAATTAATCTGAAAACGAGGCCGCCTCAAGCGGACCTTAGGCGGGTTGGATGTATTTTTAGAACAGTTGTCCATTCATGCACAGTCTGACAAATTTGAACCCAACAACCATCAATACCATACATTTCAAGGTTTTGCCAAACCTTCAACCATTGACCAGGAGAAGAGAACCGGCCGCTACCAATGTTCTCCGCAGCCCGACCGTAATTATGTTCGGCACTGAGAGGTCTAATTACATATATACATCCAACTTTTGAGAAACAAGTTACGAAATCAAATACAAAGATTAGAACCTCACATTGTCAAAACCAGCTATATTCTTGTTATCCGCGAAGAACTCCGCCGGAGATTCTGCAGAAGCAAGAAACACGACGAGGGCTCAACAAAAGCTCAAACAGATTCCATGACAATAGATCGAGCCAACACAGAGAGAGAGAGAGAAAGAGAGGAGAGAGAGAGAGAGAGAGAGAGAGAGAATTACGTAATTGAGCTACGATTTAGGGGGCAAAACGTACTCTGTTTGAGGAGCTGGGCATCCTTAGGGTTTCTGGGTTTTTTCGAGTTTGACTTCTTCAGCTCAGCTGGGCTCTCACTGCTTCCTCCTCCAGCCTCCACCATTGTCGCCCAAATGCAAATTGCTCGCGCGCGCAGCGCACAACTTCACTGTAAATCCCACGCTATCTTGGTCTCCTTTCAAGTTTTACATTTTGGTGAAAATCGTATAGTTGACTGATGGGCCGCTTGACAGGCCCAGTAGTTTAGAGTTCTTCATTATTACGTATAATTTGGGCTTTGGCCCAATCTATTTATTTAGTCAGTACATCAGTAATGGTTGTAAATTGAGGGCCTCAACCTCCTTATGGTATCCAGTCACCTCTCAGTTGTACCTCCACTGAAGGGAGCCATGTGCTGACGTCTCCTCGCCGACTTGAACAGTTAGCTAGGCAGTCTCAATGACCAACCTCTTCTTACCCTCCGAGAGCTCGGCGACTTCCTTTTCAAGGGCCGTCTGGTTCTTGGCTTGTTCCTTTAAGGAGAGGATCACCGCCTCGCAGACCTCGTGGATATCCTTCAGCCAGTCAAAGGCCAGCTCGATTTTGTTCGTCCCTCGGTAGCCTGGATTAAACCGACCATCGCACGGGCTAAACCCCGTACCGAGTGCTTCATCCGTTGGGGATTGGTCAGCATGGTGGAGGAGGACTCAACAATTGCGTCCCAACACATAATCGAGGTTCGTCCAGCTTCAACACCTCGTCGAGGATATGATATTCATTCGGGATCCCGGGGCGGACAACCAACTTGTAGCGGAAGAACCAGTCATCCAGGAACTTGGTCAGCCTTCCCAAACATTTCTCTCTCTCTTTGTCGAGGGAGAGCATAATTTGTTCTAGCTTGATGGATGAGGGCGTCGAGCTCTTTTCTTATATCGCCCTCAGGGGACCAGGCTTTCTTCTTGGTTTGCGGCGCCTCATCCCCACTGTTGACCGCAATTCGTTTCTTATCGTTTCCACCTCTACGTTCACCGCGACTCGACCTTGTTTGTTAAGTCGATCGAAATCTTGTACGGTTAGTGTAGTACCCCGTTCGATTTATAGAATTTTTCAGATTTATTCTATTTATTGGCAATTTATTTTATTTTATGCCTTATATATTTTAATGCTTGAATTCTATTTGTATTATTGTTATGCTTGTTTGAATAATATATTTTGGTACTAGTTCGATTTTATTCTACTACTCGTTCGTCGTTCGGAAAATTCTTTGGTTAATCGTATAAGTATTCTTCGAGCCAATTTTCAACCAATTTTGCTTTGGCTTCAAAACCTGACCCTTGGGCATTATTTGCCTTGATCAAATCGGCCTATGAAGCCTTAGAAAACCGGCCCTTTTTGCTTACCAAAAACCGTCCCCAACCCATTAAACTAGCACACCATGTTAATTTGAAATTCAAAATCTCCTAAAGTTACTTAAGGCATGAGTTTGACCAGATTCCTTGCCCTCTTTCCTACGGTCGAAATGCCAAATTATATGCATTGGGGATTCCTTAATTAAGGTAAATTGATACCCAAGTTATGGCCTTTAATTTCATTTCTTTTAAGTAAGGAAAAATTCCCTCAATTCCTCATTCATCATCTAAGTTTCCCTTATCAAATTATAACTTTATTCCCCCTCCAAACTCATGAAGAACCAGTAGAAAATTAGATAAAAAGAGCCCAAAACCCATCGCCTCATCACCATCCCCGCACGCGTGTCCGAGTTTCGAGCAAAGCCGAGACTGCAAGCAAACGTCTGAGGCCCTTCCCCATTCAATCTCAACCATCCCTTGTGTAGACTCCTTGGTGTTTGGTATGTGATGGCTTGTTCTTCTCTTATTTTGATGAGTTCTTTCTGGATTTATGTAGATCCATTCAATTTCTTAATGGATCTATATGTTTTTGTTGTGATCTATATGAATCATTCATGGAAATGGTTAGATCTCTATTCTCTCGTGAAAAATGTGGTTATGGAACTCTTTTGGATGCCTTGTGCCTAATTTTGAAGCCCTAGGCCGAAGATGCCTTTGTATGTTCTGAAATTTTGAAGGTGAATTCCTGTTATGATGAAGAGTGTTGTGTTAAATTTTCAAAAATTAATTCGCCCCTAGCTATCTGAACCGAAACTTGTTCTTTGGACCCTTAAATTTTGAAAATTCATCGTAAATCATATTCAGGTGAGTTTGGTCTGAAATTTGGAGGGTTAGTTTCTGCTATGATGTATAGTGATGTGTTAAAATGTGAGCCTTTAACTTGATCCATAGCTATCTGAACTGAGGGTTGTTATTTGTGCCTCAAAACTTTGAGAAATAGTATTAAAATATTGGCACGTCCAAATGACCTGAAATTTTGATGTTAGGAGTCTTTTATGATGAGTTACTTGCTGTTAAAATTTCATTGAAAAACTCCAACTCGAGCCTCTTGAACTGAAATTGCCTATTTTCTAGCCTTTTATTGAAAAATTCGTATAGCATGTTTTGGTGAGAGTTTGAAGTCGAAATTTCTAAAGGAAGACTCTAATATGATAGTGAGTGATGTTAAAATTTCAAGTCGTAACTCCTAGCCAAACCCTTGAACTGAAACTCATTCTTTGCATGCCCTTTTTGTTAAAAATGCGATTTATATGTTAGAGTTGTTCATTGAGGCTCATCTTTGGAACTCTGGTTCTTCATTAGGTGTATTTTATCGTGTTAATATTTCGTTGAAATATCCTGAGCCAAACTCCAAAAGTCTCGGTCTAGACATGCAGCCCGCGGTGGCCGATTTTTGTTTTTCCAGCACCCGTTCATCTTCTTTCGATCCTTTGACATTGTTTTCTGTGTCAAACCCATTTTTAGTCTTCTTAAATGATTTTTCTAAGTCTTTCCCACAAATACAAGAGTTCCGAATTCCACAAAATTCCACAAACTATTTAGTCGATAATTTTCGACAAGGTATGAATTCTCATGAATTTTCTAAGTGTCAAGATAACATATTCATAAGAATTATCTTGATTAAATGTAGGTGTTTGAGGAGTCGAGATCTCTACCTATAAACAACTATTATGTGCTATTGCCTACCCGACTTCCAGGTGGGTGTTACTAAATTTCTATGCCATACTTCTTATTAATTGCTAGATGGTATAATCAATGTATGCGTGTGGACCATGTAACCTATCATTGGATGCGGTATCGACCTTCGATATGGTATCTGCCGTCGTGTGTACGGTTATCGACCTCCGACGGTGCCTATTATGAGGCAGTCTCCCTGTAACACGTCGTTGTGTGCGGTTATCGACCTTCGACATGTACTTCCATTGATGTGTGCGGTTATTGACCTTCAGTGGCTTTTATAGGTGCGCACATGAGTATTATATGATGATTAGGAGATGTGATATTATGATTGATTCATGCGACCATACTATATGTTATTATTTGATTTATATGCATAGCAATGAGCAAGTGGTGTGCTCACCTTTTCAGGTTGAGCTGGTGGCTGCGGCGAAAGACGAGCGAGCAGGGTCAGGGTCATTATTGCCTGTTTTATGAACTGGCCATGCTTCCGTTTTGTGGTTATTGTTATGATTATGCTGTCAACTTGATACATTGTTTTCGAAAACAAAATAAGTTATGAAGCTGGTTCACCTCACTGGTTAGTGAATATAAAAAAAGTGATGTTATGATTATGTATGACTGTGAGGATATGAATATGATGATATTTATCTCGTATGTATATGATGGATATTGGGAAGGGAGTTCCCATAGGCTTAGATATAGCTTGAGCTAGATAATTGAATTATTAATTGAGTAGCGCCCGTTAAATTATTTTCGAAAAGAAAAATGAATTTGAAAAATTAACTCTGATTTTTGAAAACTCAGGATTTTCCTTATAAAAATAGCGGGGAGTTACAGTTAGAGCTCTAGCTGAGATTGATCCCTTGCCGGTACGGGCCCAAGTGGGAGGTCGATTGCCTCTTCGGTTTGATGACGACCTCCCCATGATGAGACTCATGCGATCCATGGATTTTTTTTTCTTACTCTTTTTCTGTAGAGAGTGGTTAAGATGATAGAACGATTTCGCGTCCTTGATAGTATGGAAACCGTGAAAATTGGTCAAAGGGTAAAAAACTATAGAAAAGAAAATTCTCTAAGTTAAAATCATAAGTAGCGGTTGGGAATAAAAGAAGTCAACAAGATAGCACAAATAAAAAAGAGAAGGGGAATGGATTATCGACCTAGCTCAAAGTCGTAGTCAACGAAATCAAGGCTTAGACCGACCTTGCGCAAGCTTTGCTCCTCCATAAGCTTTTTCCAGTGTCTCTCGTTCGGATCTTCGTTGAGCAAATAAGTTAGCCGACCTTGAAATGATTCGCTCAGTTCGGGAACTTCACCTCGTACTGAAAATAGACAAGGGCGATTTGTTATCACAAACATAAAAAAAAGTTAGATACCGAAGTGAAAAAGAAATAAAAAGGACTTACGTTTTCCAATTATAAATTTGGTGGACACAGATGGAGTGTCGGCTATGTCTCATATCACAACCATGCCGGGGGTCTTTCAATCCCCACAGACCTAGAACCATTCTTTCTAGAATCCGTGCAATGTGTCGAGCAACTTTGCGACTAAGTCCTTATCAATTTCCATCTGGACCGAGCAAGAGTACCAGTCTGACTTCTTTGACATCTCCTTAAAACCAAAAACGCCTGGGATCTCCTCAGGGTAGGAGCCGACCACCCGCTTTTATATAACATCACAATTAGATCGATTACCTTGGCCCTGGCATTCAACACTATCTAGCTAAATCCTATGCCAACCCCCCTAACAACCTCGGTAAAGAGGTTGGGCAAAAAAGATCTGAGGTCGAACGTCAAGCTCTATTTGAAAACGGTAATGCAGCTTGCCAGCGAACAATGAATCTATCCCCGAGACAGGGAGCGAATAGCTGAACCGACAAGGAAATCTGAACTCTATCCCTCAACTTGACGATATCAGCATCCATCATCACACTCATCGTGTTACCCAACGTCAGATGACTGGTCCCTGTCCAAACGTGATATGGCCTCTGCCAAAAGCAGTTCGATATGATGACGGCTTTCTCAACGGCCCGGTCGACCTCATAATCACCTCTTACCAGAGGCAACCTCTCTCGGCCCCTAGTTTCATCCTGCAGGGTC